TTTTTTTTTTTTTTTTTTTTTTTTTTTTTTGTAGTTCTGTCAATAAAACAACAACTAAACCAGAACAACAAAATATGAACACATCTCCCCTTTCTAATTCAACAGCTTTTGCAGCAACAAGAACAAAAAAAGAACGAAGAACTAAGAATACCAACACAATCACTATCATCGTTACTAATTGCAAAAGCAAAAGCACAGCAAAAAATAAATAAATATCAAAAACCCTTAAATTATTTCAAAATGACAGAACAAAGGCCAACTATATGTTAATCAGAAGAAAACATTTTAAACTAGCATGTACATTAAAACAGAATCCCTTTCCCTTCATAAATATTACTGCAATGCGAGCAGAAAAAATGCTGTTTTAAGAAACCGCTGCTATTTGCTAATCCATTTGTAACGTTCAATAATACCGGCACTAGCACAACTATCGTCATCGTCATCATCATCATCATCATATCATCATCATCATCATCATCATCATCATCATCATCAGCATCATCATCATCATCATCATCATCATCATCATCATCACCATCACCATCACCAACAGCGGCAGCAACGGGAGCAGCAACATCACTGTCACCATCGTCATCATCATGACCATCACACCACCATCACCCGTTACATCCACACCGAATTAATACACGTACATAAGCAACCGCTGTTCAGCTTTCATTCTCCCTACTAAATAACACTGCTAAACAACAACAATATATACCATTAAACGGCTCAAGCAATCAGCTTTTTTTCTTCATCCCCGACTAACATAACATTACCGTCATCACTATTATCGCAACCAGTGTCAGTAACCAGAATCATTTTTGTCTTCATCACAACCACTAACATGTCCAACTTTTGCATTAGTATTCCTTCACCGAATACTACCAACGCACGCGGGCACAGATACATACGTCGGCACAACAGAAGTCGAAAAAAAAAAAAACGAAGGACTGCACCAGCAACAACAAAAAAACACACTTTCTACGCTATTCAAAAATCCGATTTATTCTTTTAACTACCCTGAAAAAAATCTTTTTCACACAATTTTTGTACCTTGCTCCTCACATCTTCAATTAAATTACATCGCATATTCATTCCACTGCCAAATTCTATTGCTCTACAGAAAAATGTTACCACAAAATATTTAATAAACATCAACGTAAACTGCATTCAACTATCATTGAGAAAAAAAAAGAAAATAAGAAAAATAATTTAGAACAACAAAAAGAAATTTTACATTTCGTTTGCTTATCCAACATAATATTTTCCTCTGCTTAATTGTAGACTCATTCTTTGATAACCTAAGCAATGTTTTCCTCGTCCAAAAAAAGCAGACGAAAAAAATAAAAAAAAACATATATTAATGCTGAAGAAGAAATCAATGTAATGTTCTACACAGTTTCTCACATCCACTATAATCGTATCGACAACTCTGAACACTGATCTTTTTCAATCCCAGTTCTCAAGTTAATTTTTCTTCAAAATTTTTCTTTTTTCTTCAAATCCTCTTCTTTCAACTTCCTTACATATTCAACAATCAAATACATCTATGTGTATAAA